ACAGAAACATAAATGACACTTGACAAAAATAAATCAATACTCTTCAGGACATGACAAGCAATTATGTTTGTCAAAAGTAACCGTGACATGTGTTCATGAAAACTATCCAATTTATTGGTAAACTAAAAATATACTCCTTATATTTACATGGCATAAAACATCGTCGGATACCCACGGTTGATAATCATGTTACATGTTAATATTTTGACCGGATGGATGAATGAATGAATGAATGAATGAATGAATGAATGAATGAATGAATGAATGAATGAATGAATGAATGAATGAATGGATGGATGGATGGATGGATGGATGGATGACTGGCTGGATGACTGGCTGGCTGGATGGCTGACTGGATGGACGGATGGATGGATAGATGTGTATAATAAATTTTCATCGGAATTGACAACAAATTTTGCTTTTCAAGTGATTCACCTAAAAAACTGTTTTTTGTAAACAGAATAATTTTTTATATAAGCATTCGTAAGTTCGAAAAGTTTACACAAATGATTTATAACTTGTCAAGTTTTCAAAAGATCGGAATTTTCAACATGTGATATCCTCCCCCGGTAAAAGGCTAATCAATTTGTTAGGGTTAAGAAATGATGTTAGCTGCAAGACTATTCTAATGAAAAGCAAGCATAATTGATCCATATTTGACATTTCCGGATTATAATAATATTAAGCACGATTGCCACCATACCAGAACGAATGGTTGTCTAAAGGGCTTGCTAAATCTTTAAAAAAAAACATTTACTAGACAAGGTGGCAGACACGACAGAGAACCAGCAACGTTTTTACATTTTTTTTTTCAAATATCTTTTTATTTTGTTGTTGTAACCGCCTCCGTGGTCGAGGGTTTTGAGCTGTTGACTTCTAATCAAGTTACCTCTCTGGCGTGAGTTCGATCCCCGGGGGATGCTTTGGTAGTTTAGCGCGGAGGAAGGTAGTCTAGTACTGGTGTTACTCTCCAGGAACGATGGTTAGGAAACTTACCCGATTATATGACTGCAATACTGTGGGGAAAAGGCGTAAAATGAAACAAACAAACAAATTAAATTTTGTTGTGGTTGTTGTTTTTGTCACATGGCACTTTTGTTTATGGCCTACTTACTTTGCAAAAATCTACTAGTTATGGCTTAAAAATCATTCAGCTAAGAATTACTTAGGCATATACTTTGTTCTTGTACAGTTTATTTCATTCCACAGCCAATTATTTATTATTATTATTATTATTATTTATTATTATTATTATTATTATTATTATTATTGATTGTAAAGAATGAACAATATACAATTACTACAGAAATAAATGCTTAATACAGCGCGATTACGATAATTTAGCGATATGTTAGCTTTCATTATACTGAAATATGATGTGAACGTACATGTAACAGTTTGTTGCAATCATTAGAGACTGAACAATCAGTTATATATTTACCACCACTTTACACGCATTCTGCTCATGTCAATTCTAAACAAAGGCACAGTATGTTTCAGGTGCGAATGATTTTTACCATCTTAAGAAAGGGCACATAGATGTTTAATAAAATTTAAATAATGAATTTAGAGCATTTTAGATGTTTTCACCAGAAGAAAGGAGGGAATGTGAATTTTTTGGTCATTTAGGTAGAAAAATGTAAGATAAGTAATATTTTGTCTTCAACAAAAATACTTAATTACTAGAACTGTCCTTTTTGCATAATAAGCAATAAAAGCAAATATGGTACAGATTATTGGCAAAAAGTAACTTTTTCATAAACTGTAACAAGACATTAAAATTAAACAGATTTTGAAGGATAAGAAAAAGCATTTCTATGGCATAATGGAATTTTAAAATAAATCTTAATATTCATGTGTTTACGTGACATTCATTACTTACCATTATTGTAGAGTGATAATTTAACAGATGTGGCTTCTTTTTCCATTCTTATGACATGCTGGGCTCACATGTATTTGAAAATATTTTAATATAATCATCAATTTCTAAATATAATTTTTTTATACATGAAATGTTATTTAATACCAGTGAAAACTAGACAGTTCAGCAGTTTTTCCATTGCCTTTTTATCAGGTGTGAAAAAGCAAGAAATAATCAGAGAGATAGATTTTAAGCTCAAAACCTTGTCATTTTCGACAGGCAACGTACTTGGCATGTTAAGTATTGTTGTTTAGTCTTGATTTGTCTTGTCGAAAATATAAAACATTGTTCTGGTGAAAGTAAAAAAATATTTTTTAGTAATACCAAATGAATTACAGTTAAAGTTGTGCAAGTTCATCCGCTTAATCAAAGGTATTATACAGAGCAGTATTTTAGCTAACAATGCAGGGTGATTCTTTTACTACATTCATCTACTAAACGTACACCAAAAACAAAATGTTGAGAGATATATATGTTCCTTTATCATAAAAATTGACTCTTAATTTAATCATTTTAGTTCAAAAAAATTTTATGTTTGAAATAAAAGGAATCCGGACATGATGGTATTCATATTTCCATGGAGATCCTGATCGTTGTTATCACTCGTCTTCCTGAACCACACTTCGGACCCAGTGTCTAGTTCTAGAATCCATTGCTTGGTTGTAGATGCATAATTATCAGTGCTTCCTAGTCCAGCAGATATATAGTTAATGTAGACACCGTCAACCACTAAATCCAGCCATTGAACTTTGTTAGGTTCCACTGTCATTGTTAATGTTATAACATAAGCGCCTTTAACCGGGACAGTAAAAATCCCAGTATGTTCATGGTACGCATTGCCAATGTTTGTGATGACCTGATCAAAAATGATAGTTTGATAATGACCTAAATTATGTAGGTTTTCAACCGACACTCCTGCAGTAAACGCAATGTTTGCTTGAAGAGATGTTTGTCCTGAAATTGAAAAATGCAGTTGCAGTCTCGTGGACAGTCTGCGTTATGAAATGTTGATAAGAACGTATGACCATAGAAATTTTCATAAATTATATTGCCTGTAATAGAGACAATCAAATTATTGTGGCGTTACATTATCACACTGGCCATAGTTTTCGCAGAAGCGGTGGGTCCATCGCAGCGGCGGTGGAGTATTCGTCGCAGAAGCGGTGAATAAAAAATGGCCGTTTGCTTTTGTCGGTAAGTGTAGGACTGAATTTATTTTTATGTTTAATGTGTTACTGGAAACACCTATTGACCTTGGCTTTTGATGACATTGACCTTGAAGGTAAATTATTTTAGTAGACACTAATATAAATTCTTAAATGTACTATTACATGTTTTTCATAAAGTTTACAAGTTCCATAAAATAAAAATTTAATCGTTTTCACGATTAATACCACCGCGGTCCACGGAGATAGACCGCTGCGTTCCCCCGCAATTACCCACAGTGTTCCGCGGGGGAAACGCTTACGGCTGTAGTTTTATGTCCGCGGTGGTGAAAATTTTCTGTCCGCGGGGTCACGCGGATAATATTTGAGCAAATTTTCGTCCGCGATGAGTCACATCCGCGGGGACACGCGGGTTTTGCAAAAGCCGCGCTGAGCGTACTGTAGACTGGAACCAACATATGTACTCTTCCAACTTATTAAGCGCACACGTCAATTTATTACCGTTTATGCACTTCTGTACAGTTTGACAAGTTGACGCCTATTTGGCCTTATTTTAGTTAAAACACGTACGTATGTGTGCAAAACAGTCCCTACATACACCAGCATCAAATCGTATGTATGAACAACCATATTTTGGAAATTTCGGAAATTGTTATTTCCTTTTTATAAAAGAATTGACAAAATAATTATTACAACGCCGACGACTGTGGATTCGATTGCAACGCACTGAGGTATACCCGATACCATTTATGTCAATTGTTAAGGTTTAACTTGACATAACGTACTTTGCAATTGAGTACAACCCTTTTCTTACTTTGGCATCAGAGAAACGTGTTTATTTGGTGTTTGAAACAATATAATTTTATATACAAATTGTTGTCCGAGTTCCGCTTCCGTTTCCCTTCCATTGAATATTCCTTTTGCCAGTATTATCATAAAATAGTCTACGTTCAACCTTGGACTTACAGAGACCATAGTTTTCAGGTTCAACAAAGTTTTTGTCATACAAACATATAAAAGAGATGCTCATAAAAATTAACAAAACATGCTTCTTGAATATGAAGAAAAATCTCAGTTTTGAATGTCACTGTGTTGTATTATAATCCTGAAACACCATTTTATATAAATTTTATCTTTACAGCGAAAGTATTATTTGAGGAAAAGTTTTCTGTCTATTTCTTTTGATAAACTACGGTGCGTTTTATAGTTTTAGTTGACCAATAACCGCTATGATATTATTATATAAACTATGCGCGTCATGCGGCGCTACGAGTACCTGTATTATTATAAATTAATTTAATTTTGTATTTAATGGTGCACTTTTTAGGGACATCTATTGCCTTTTTGAATTAAAGAGTTCGTGAATAAAAGCAAAATCTGACATCTATGCTTTTGATACCCCTGTTTCTTTGACACTGATAATAATTATATTAAAAGTTGATTAAAGTGATATGTACATATATTATGTAGTTACATTACTATTTCTATATTATATGTTCAACTGTGTGTTGCATTCTGTATTAAAAGAAATACCCCTTGGATATAAATCCATGTTAAATGAATGCCTTCATTTAAAGGGACTCGACTGAGGTTTAAAAGACTAAAAACATAACATTTGAATTTATTACATATTTGAGCTTGGGCACTTTAAACAGAAATATATGCAAAGATAGTTAACAAATATACTTTGAAATAAACTGAAAATCGTATTTTTAAGCTTTCCTTAGCCAAATATGAATCAAAAGCGTTTAAACGCTTTTCGTTTTGGGTCATTTTTTTACAATTTGAAAAATTATTCTGGAAAAACGTAGTGCACGAATGATCTAAAATTTTGCAAAAAGATAAGTGGCCTAAACCTACATCAAATGGTACATTTATCTGGAAAAATATTTGCAGCCCCATCATGTCAAAAAACCTCAGTGGAGACCCTTTAATGATAGTGGCAATCGGGGAAAAAATGTGAATATAAGGTAAATACATGTAACAGTCTAAAGTTGTCAGGTTTTACTCAAACTGTGCAGTACATATGGTCGTTGTGGATCCAGTACTGATTTATTGAACACATTTGATAAAATAACACTACTTTATTCAACCAAAGACTTAAAAAAAATAATAAAAGATATACGAACATAACATTTGTTTAAATCACATTTCCAAAATAAGTACAGTTTACAGTCAAAAATAATATTCTTACACTATAACGATAACATTTTAGAAGGTATTTGGGTGTCAGAATTAAAAATATTCTAAACTTTGCATTCACTCAAATAAAATTTATTTCCCTTTAGTATAGTATGTTTAATTTTTTAAAGAAAAAATGGTTTAAAAAGGTATATGGTTTCAAAAAAGGTATATTTTTAAAGGATTTAAAGTACCTCTTTTGAAATTGAAAAAAAAGGTAACTGAAGTATTTGATAGAATTAAATAATTTTAATGTGCAAAAATAAACTGAAAACATAACAAAAGGAAAATTAAAATCATTTTTTAGATGTATGTATAAATTATCTCCCCATTGAAATAACCCTAATTAAGTAAGAAAAAGAGGACGGTGACCCCTTAGTTTTTTTTTTTTTTTGCTTGAAATCTTTCTGTTATCATATTCTAACATCATGCCAAGTTTTCAGATTATAATTATATTGAACATCTTTTTTCTGCTTAATGTGGTTATGATAATGCTTTTCATTGGATAATCGTGACGTTAAACTATATACACGGCTACTGTCGATTTATAAAGAAATCTCGCTTTATTCCTCTAAAAATGATTCTTGCTGTATTATAAATTCGTTATACATATTTCTGACAGGTTATATGTCTGTATGTAAACGGTTGTTTGCAATATAACCCCCGCCTTGCGGCTCGGGTTATATTTACAAGCAACCGTTATATAGGGCAATACAATCTGTCAAAAATCTTTATAACTTATAATATACACGACTGCTGTATATTTAAGAAGAAATTTAACTTTTTCTCCAAAAAAAGGAGCTTTGCTGTATTAAAAATTCGTCATATTTATTCGGAGAATATAATTATTAGTAGGTTATATGACCGTATCAATCTACTAAGGCTCAGATCCCCCTATCACTGACATATAGGTCTGATTACCACCGTATATGTGTCGTCTTCATTATGATTCGGATTTCCCGAGAAAGCTATTTTTAGCCATGCAATCAAACCGATTTTTACAGGTAGGCAATAGAAGAAGTATTAAAATATCGTTGTCCGTTGAAGTAAAACCATTGTTGATTTTTGTGATAAAAAATGTTTGAAGTAATTTGAAAGAAGTAAAATGGAAAAATAGACTTAATTTTTAAATAGACAGGATTGTTTTGCCAGTTACCTTCCAAGTCTATAGATAACGCCATGTTTGTTCTCCCGAAATCGTGAAAATTACCTGCTCTGTATTGGTTTTCCAGAAAACGCATCGCTTTGACAATTATGAAAGCTTGCCGATGATTGGTTGTTTGAGAAATAATGAAACAGTAACAACATATTGGTGATCGTCAGATCCTAATGTGAAGCGTTATTTAGGAGCTGTTTATATCAGACTGATGACTGTATATAAAAGGTTGTTTGTTTGCAATATAATCCTTGCCTATGCCGGGTCAGGGGGTAACAAGAACGAACTCAAAGTCGAATTTTAAAAAGGTTCTATGTCAAGTTATTATCTTAAGATTGACATAAATGTTGTCGGACCAATCGCACTGCGTTGCAATTGAATCCATCGCCGACTGTGTTGTAATTTTTTTTGTCATTTTTATAATTTTATAAAATGGCAATAAGTATTTACAAAATTTCCAAAATAATGTTGTTTTTGCAAATAGTATCCATACAATGCGATGCCGGTGTATTAAGGCGTCGTTTTACATACATTTGTATGTGTTTTATATGGTGGCTGGTTTGTTTCATTCGTGTTTTCGCCCCGCGACGCCGCCAAGCGAAAAGTCGAAAATTAACAAGTTAAAAGGGGGCGCAGAGCGAAAACACGAATGGCACAAATCAGCCACCATAGTTTTAAGCAAAATCAGACTAAATTGGCGTCAACTCGTCAAACTGTACAGAACTGTTTGCATAAACGGCAATAAATTACATCGTGTGCGTGTAATAAGTTGGAAGAGTACATTTGTGGGCTCCCGTCTCACAAGGTTTTTCCAGTTAAACATTAAAACATAAAGTTAAATTCAGTTCTAAACTTACTGACAAAAGCGAACGGCAATTTTTTTTATTCCACCGCTTCTACGACGTAAACTCTCCGCCGCTGGAATGCACCCACCGCTTCTGCGAAACTTATGGTCAGTGTGATTATTAGATTATGTAGCGGAATATATTTGAAACATCTAGTTAAAGTAAATTATATAATAGATAACACCGTAAAAAAGACAAATAGGATAGTTTTCTTTAAAAAAATTAGTATACTTTATTCTTGTCGGAATTTTTACCACAGCCGGATATTAAGGTTTCCCGTTAGGGACATGCTTTGGGGAATTACGGAGTTGTATTTACCTGATATCATACTTCTCTGACGATTAAAATGAGAAGTCCGTTTCTTTAGTTCAAATGTCTGTTCGTAAGCATACTTTTGAATGTTTGTCGTGTCAGATTTTTCTGTTTCATTGACATCCTGAAGTTATAAACAATATTGTTTTCATTCTATTGCTTTTCTATTGCTTTTCTACTTTGCTAATTAGAATTATATATATATATAATTATACGCTTTATTTTCTTTTAAAAAACTTTAGATTAGTGTTTTGCTGGGAATCTTAATTTTAATAAACCAGAAATATGCTAGTATAGTTACCTCTACGGGGCGCTGCGCACATTGTCTTTCCAGCGTTTTAACCTTTTGATTAAGATTGTGATTTTCATGTTTTAATCCCTCAACCTCATTTTCCAATACCAGTGTACGTTCCCTCAGATAATCGATCTCTATCAACTTTTCGCTATTATGTTGGAGCATTTTTTTCATCAAATCCATTTCTTTCAAAATTAACTGAAGATTATGATGTTCGTGTAATTCTTCTCCAAATACAGTTAGTGATATAAAACATATGCACAATATGTAAGAAATCATCATCTCGAAAAGTTAACACAATTTAGGAATGAAAAGAAAAATGAACGTGACGCATTACTGATAATGATTCCTTAAAAAGGATCTGCTGTCATGTTTAATTTTGATGTGTTACCATTTTAATGATAAGAAGTTTTGGTGTCTACAAGTTGGGTCAAAAATTGTGAAACATTTGTAAAATTTGTATAAGCATGCAAATAATTAATGAGCTTGATACATGTATTTATCTGTATGTTCAGAATTTAAAAAATATTAGATTTCGTAAAAAAGTTTTGTTTTATTGCACAAAAGATGGCTTCTTTAGTACGTATGTAAAGCATGAATGTAAATGTTTTGATTTAACGATTTGATTCTCTCTTTCTAAATATGTGTGTTACGAAATTGAAAAAAAAAACATACTAATGTGCCAGATACTATAAGATACTTAGATCTGTCAGTTTGACTGAATGTTCATCTTATTATAATCATCCCATATCCTTCAGTTATATTTGACTATGTTTAATAGTCTGAACACAAGAACGTTTCTGAGTTTAATAACGGTAAATTTCAATCAAACTTTATGTTTTAATCTTAACTAAGGTACGTATTTTTTTAAATAAAACGTTGCAGACAAAACCTTAGCCAAATGTTATTCAACCACAGGAGAATGGACCTGCGATTCTCCGAATAATCCTGGTAAATAAAGAAATAATATATGCTATATAAGTTTAACAGTTTATTATTAATATGGCCATAACAAATAAAGAAATGTACTAATAATAGTCATTCAATTCATACTGTTCAATAAATTTTAAATAACATACTTTCGTACCAGAATTAAGAAAAATGGTTAATTGCGTTAAACAATAATATGAAATTACGCCTTTTGAACTTAATCATATTAATGACGTAATCACACATACAAGTACATCATCATATATTTAGCCATAATTCATTGCAATGATTTTCGCTTCAGTAAGCTATTTGTCAATATTATTTCAGTCTATTGCAAAGTTCGTCTTCCTGTAAACAACAGATCAGAAAGATTTTATTTTTGCTTATATTTTTCATACAGAAAAATCACAATTTGATACTTTACTTTTCGGAAATTGTTACGTCTGGAACAATAGATGGCCAGATATAATAGTATGCATATTTCCGTGGAGGTCAGATTGGCCAGAACTACCAATCTTCCTGACCCAAACTTCTGATCCGGTTTGCAGCTCTAGGATCCATTGATGTGTTGTAGAAGCGTAGTCCCTAGCGTCCGCTTGGCCAGCACCTATATCGTATGTGGAACTACCGTCAACAACTAACTCAAGCCATTGAAATTTGTCTGGTTCAATAGTCATGGTTAGCGTTATAGCATAAGCGCCTTTAACCGGGACATTAAAAATCCCAGTATGTTGATGGTATGCATTGCCGATGTTTGTGATGACATAATCAAATACGATAGTTTGATGAACACCTAAATTGTGTAGATTTGGAATCGATACTCCTGCTGTAAAAGCTACATGGGTTTGGATTGAGACCTGTCCTGAAAATAGAAAACGAGTCAATTGGTGAACAATCTGAACGTGCAAACAAACAGACAGATAATTTATAGAGAAAGGGATGTGTCATGTTATAACCAGGTGTTGTAGCATCACATATATATATAATATAAAAATATATATTCTAATTAAAATACCTTATATATTATATTTCACGCTCTTTTTTCAGTTAGGTAGAGAGAATGGTTTGATAACGCGCGCCACTGTCACAGATAACGCCCACGTCACAAAAAAGATAACATAGACGAAAGAAACATCTGAGTGTATATTCCAGAACCACTATTTAGTCTGGAGTTCCTTCACTTTACACTACTGTCGGTTGCAAATGTAGTCATCTACTGCGTTCTTGCCATGCATGTAGCCGAATACATGGAATAAGATATGGGGATTTACTAATAGTATTTACTTTGTAGTATACTTCTCTGGCGATTTGGTTTAAAAGTTCGTTTCCTTGATTCAAATTTCTGTTTGAAAGAACAGCTGTGATTGTTTGCCCTGTTGGCCGTCGTGTCAGTTTTTTCGGTCCTTTCAACATTCTGAAAAATTATACAGAAATGGACTTAAAACAGAACTTATGTTTCTTCTTTTAGGAGAAATATTCCAAATATTTTTACCGTACAGGAGCCTACACACTGGTTTCTAGCTAGGTTCTTATTGTCCTGGGATAATAATTTGGTCTTAACGGTACAAGGTAAGACTACATATTATCCGAGATTGGACGTGTCACAACTCTGAATAGTTTAATTCGAATAAGACATATGGTTTAATTCTAATACATGTACGACTGTGTACCATCGTAGCGGCTCAGTTGGTAAATCAACGTCACTGTAACTTTTACTGATTTGCACTCATAAGTTCGAATCTTACGCTCTGTCATGTTATTATGATGGATTATTTTATGCTTTTCAGTGGATTACTGATTTATCCGTGGAAATTATATTTGATAATTTCATAGTGAAAATTATCAATATATAATTTCACACGTTTCAATAACGATACTACTTTTTTAAGATTTTCCCCATGTGGTACCTCAATTTTATTTTTGCTGACAATTTTGACAATGTCAGGGTGTTTAGACAAAAGCAAAGCTGAAATTGATAAATAATTTAAATGTCAAAAGTAATAACAAGAAGAAAACTTACTTCTATTCATCCAAATTACCAATCACCAAATATCTATTTTTTTGTTTCATTTATACAGTCTGAAAAATACATTCCTTCTACATGCAAAACTGTTCTTGATAACATTTGGGCATATTTAAGTATCCTACGAGGAATAACTGCCGTATGCTCTATGAAAACTTGAAAAGCAATGACAGCCATCAGCCCAAAGAATAAGTAAACAACACAGCGTCCATAAGGCAGCCTTTCAACAAATCCAAGTTTCCAATTTCCTAGCCGTTTTTTATGTTTACAAATTTGTTAACACTTATTTATTGTCTGTTACAATCCTCAAATAAGTTTTCTTTCTTTTAAAAAGGTGTATGACTAACAAATCCAAATGATAACCCTCTGAATCAAACACAATTATTTTCCTGAAATACACAATTCTTAAAAATGGCGGCCGTTTACATTTAATATGAGAAATTCGACAAAACATGTACATAATAGAGGCTACCAGTTGGGAAAACAAATTTTAATATTTATGTTACTATCAAGGAAATTTTGTTTTAACTTGTTTTTAAGCATAAAATAAAAGGAAAATGTGTTTGTTTGTTGTGTAAGATGTAATTTTATTTCATCTCGTGAACTTTAAAAACAATATTCTAACTCGTGGCTACTCCACTCTTGAGAATACTGTTTTTAAAGCTCACTCGATGAAATAAAATTTCATCTTACACACAAACAAACAAATATCCTCTATGTAATTGTTTCTCACCTTTCTGTCGAATGTATGATCATTGGAATCAAGTCGTGTACAAAAATATTCTCACGCATTTGTAACTTCTTGAAACAAAACCGGTCAAATAAGAAAAAAATACCTAAAATTTGCAATTTTATAGAAAGAAATATGAATAGAGTATGTTATTGCATGAATACAACACTGAAGCGGCAACTCTGTCTACTGCATCATCAAGGCACTTTTGAAGCTTTAACATATCAACCCAAGTTTTATCACCTATCTGCAAGATAGAAACAACTTGACTATCACAGTCTTTGTATGTTTTTAGAAGTTACTTGACACACTGAAAACGCTGTTTCTATTGTAGCTTAATGATTAAATGGGTACCCACCTGGCACAAACCTGTCTTAAAAACCCAAACACTTGATTTTAAATTAATTAAATGAATACTGTTTTCTGATATGCCAGTACATCTCCTTTACTCCTGCACAACTATAACTTTAATAGAACCAATTGCCTTGGTAACATAGGCCTACCGGAATGGTATTTATCTTTGCCAGACAATTGCCAGGCTTAAAATGTTTTCACCCGCATAAAGATTTGCGCTTTGCAATGACCCAAAGTCCATATATGCCACCCATTTGATAATAAATCTGCGTTGCATGTATATTAATTCTAATGCGACATTTAATGTAGTTTTGATTTTAGTTTTGTTATCCATTGTATAATATATATAATTATATAAATTGATCAAAGTCGATGACAGTTAAAACATCTCGGTCATTTAACACGCAAATTGCATGAAAGAAACTGTTATAGTTAGCTTTTCAAGTATAATGAAGCGTTTCAAAATACTATGAGGATAAAACACATGTAAACTACAGAAACATTTTAGTGACATAGCTTATTCAATGATCTCCGTATAATGATTTTATATACTAATGGAAAATTGCCTTTTTCAATTGAGCTTGAAATATATTTATGTTCTATTAAAATGATTTAAAAGTTATGCATCCGGCCATGCTCTGCTTTAATTTAATGACTTTAATCGTAATCTTTAAGTATGTCTTACATTAGTATGAGTCAAACTAGTAAATAGTACTTTAAAAACTATGTAAGTATTTCAGATAGAATTGAATTTGAAAAAAACAATGTGAATTTGATAAGCCAGTATGATTACCTCTACAGAACGATCCGCATATAGTCTTTCCAGCGTTTTAACCTTTTGATTAAGATTGTGATTTTCATGTTTTAATCCCTCAACCTCATTTTCCAATGCCAGTGTACGTTCCCTCAGATAATCAATCTCTATCAACTTTTCACTATTATGTTGAAGCATTTTTTTCATCGAATCCAACTCATTCAAAATCGACTGCATATTTTTATGTTCGTGTAATTCTTCTCCAAACACAGTTTTTGAAATGAAACATACAAACAGTATGTAAGAAATCACCATCTCGAAAAGCTAAGACAATTTAGAAAAAAATGGACGTGAGGTATAACTGATAATGATTCCTTTAAAAGGATCTGCTGTCATGTTTAACTTTGATGTGTTACCATTTTCATGATAAGAAGTTTTGGTGTCTACAAGTTGGGTCAAAAATTGTGAAACATTTGTAAAAGCATGAAATGAATGGACTTGCTATTTATCTATATATTAAGAATTTAAAAAGATTTAGATTTCGTATAAAAGTTTTGTTCTATTTCACAAAAGATTGCTTCTTAGGTACATAGGTAAACCATGAATTTTAATGTTTTTATTTTAAAAATTAACAATTTGATTCTCTCTTTCTAAATATGTGTGTTACGAAATTGAAAAAAAAAACATACTAATATGCCAGATACCATTAGATACTTAGATCTGTCAGTTTGACTGAATATTCGTCTTATTATCCTTCAGTTATATTTGACGTTGTTTAATAGTCTGAACACAAGAACGCTTCTGAGTTTAATTACGGTCAAATTCAATCAAACTTAATCATTTAATTTTGACTAAGGTATGTAATTTTTTAAATAAAACGTTGCAGGCAAACCCTTAGCCAAATGTTATTCAACCACAGGAGAATGGGCCTGCTATTCTCCGATTAATCCTGGTAAATAAAGAAACAAGCTATAAAAGTTAACAGTTTATAATTAATATGGCCATAACAAATAAAAAGATGTAATAGTCATTCAATTTATACTGTTCAATAAATTTTAAATTCGTACCAGAATTAAGAAAAATGGTTTATTGCGTTAAACAATAATTTTGAAATTAATCATATAAATTTATGACGTAATCACACATACAAGTACATCAGCTTATATTTAGCCATTATTCCATTGCAATGCTTTTCGCTACAGTAAGCAATTTGTCAAAATTATTTCAGTCTATTGCAAAGTTCGTCTTCCTGTAAGATAAAACCACAGATCGGCATCAGAAAGATTTTATTTTGCTTATATTTTTCATACACAAAAATCACAATTTGATAACTTTACTTTTCGGAAATTCTTACGTCTGAAACAATAGATGGCCGGATATAATAGTGTTCATATTTCCGTGGAGATCAGATTGGCCATACCAACCAATCTTCCTGACCCACACTTCTGATCCGGTTTGCAGATCTATGATCCATTATTGTGTTGTAGAAGCGAAGTCCCTAGCACCCGCATGGCCAGCAGATATATAGTATGTTGAACCACCGTCAACAACTAACTCAAGCCATTGAAATTTGTCAGGTTCAACAGTCATGGTTAGCGTTATAGCATATGCGCCTTTAACCGGGACATTAAAAATCCCAGTGTGTGGATGGTAAGCATTGCCAATATTTGTGATGACACGATCAAATATAATAGCTTGATGATCACCTAAATTATGAAGATTATCAACCGATACTCCTGCTGTAAAAGCTACATGGGTTTGGATTGAGACCTGTCCTGAAAATAGAAAACGATTCAATTGGTGGACAATCTGAACGTGTAAGCAGACAAATCATTTATAGAGAAAGGGATTTGTCATGTCAGCTATTGTAGCATCACATATATATTAAAAACTATATTCTAATTAAAATACGTCATATATTATATTTCACGTTCTTTTTTCAATTAGGTACCGGTATATGGAATGGTTAGAAAACGCGCGCCATTGTCACAGATAACGCCCAAGTCACAAAAAAGATGATATAGGCGAAAGAAACATCCGATTGTATTTCCAAAACCACTATTTAGTCTGGAGTTCCTTCATTTTACACTACTGTCGGTTGCAAATGTGTCATCTACTGCGTTATTGCCATGCATGTACTGTAGCCGAATAAGACATGGGGATTTACGTAATTATATTTACTTGGTAGTATACTTCTCTGGCGATTTAGTTTAGAAGTTCGTTTCCTTGATTCAAATGTCTGTTTGAAAGAATAGCTGTGATTGTTTGACGTGTTGGCCGTTGTGTCAGTTTTTTCTGTCCTTTCGACATCCTGAAAATTTATACAATTATAAGTGCTGAGTCAAAATTAAATACGCATACAAACACTATTTAATCAAAAGATTTTCATTAAATAGAATATGGAGAGTGTGTCAATAAGATTTTGTACCTTCAAACTTGCCCATTTATATGACCTATGTATTTCATATTAAAATATCTGTTATTTTATATGCAAATGGCATGAAACAAGGTGTTGTAGTTAGCTATTGAACACCTCATTATATTGCAATAAAACGTTTTAAATACTATGAGGATAAAACTTTAGAAACCTATTAATGGAATATCTTTTCGAATGATCTCCGTATAATGATTTTATGTACTAATGGAAAATTGCCTTTTTCAACGGACCTTCAAGTAATAGTACTAAATTCAAAACTATATAAGTGTTTCAGATAGAGTTAAGTTAGAAAAATTAATGTAAAAATTTTGATAAGCCAGTATGATTACCTCTACAGAGTGTTCCGCGCATTGTCTTTCAAGCGTTTCAACCTTTTGTTTAAGGTAGTCATTTTGAAGTTTTAATCCCTTAACCTCACTTTCCAATGCCAGTGTACGTTCTTTCAGAAAATCAATCTCTTTCCAAATTGACTGCAGATTTTGTTGTTCTTTTATTTTTTCTCCAAAAGCAATGAGTGAAATAAAGCACACAAACGATATGCAATAAATCATCATTTCGAGGGGTTTTACACACACTTTAGAAATGAAAAAAAATAAAAACCTGAGCTGTATTACTGATAACGCCTCCTTTATATCTTAATATGTCCTGCTATTTTGTCAGATTTTTCATGCCTGGTCAACATTATCATGATAAGAAGTATTGTGTTAAAAATTGTGAGACATTTGTATAAAGGCGGAAAAAAATTAATTTCTTATATTTCTATATATATATTCAGGATTTAAACGCATGACAGTATTTTTAATTGTTTTTTTTAAACAATTTGATTCTTAAACGTGTATTACACCATTATACATAACATTATCGTGTGTCATAAGATACTATAACAAGTATAGAAAACATTGTATGTCAGTAAGGCAGACATCTCGACCTTTACTATTTACTAAATTTCAAGTAAATGCGTAAAAGAAGGAAAACATGCATGTAAAACTTGAAAAAGAAAATTTCAAAGTTTGTAAAAGGGTCAAACTCAACCAAATTTTATGTGTGAATGTTAGATCAATTGTCTTGATTCAAGAAAATTCATGTAAATAAGAGCTTGTTACGAACAATGCAGCAGTCCTCGACAGATATAATGATCTCTCCAATATTAATGCGGAAGAATTTGTCTAAGATTTTTCAAAGTCGCTGCATAAAAAGGAAAGTCGTGCCAATGCCCATTTTAAGGAAATAATAATTTTGAAAAATATGGAACAAATGTTTATGTTTTGCCTCACTTTTGTATTACTATGTATGTAACCGTAGCAACTACATTTCTCTTAACTGTTAAAACAACCAATTATCATAGTATTGCAAGCAATACATAAGTCTCCTACCAGTTAGAACCCCAGTAACATTGGGAAGGACCATTGGCCATTCAATTATGCTATTTAATTACATGAATAAACTTAAATCTTTTGAGTTCTTAGTTTGTCTGTATCATAGTAATGTGTTCCCTGCCAAGTAAGGAAATTATGTTTATACAACAGATTATCAAAAGATCCAGTTTTCTCAGGATGAATATTTAACAAATAAAACATGGCTTTGAGGGCAATATGCAAGTTTACGGACTGCTTGGTAAGACCTTAGAAGGTATATAACCCGAGGCGCATATATATTTTATACCGAATCTATCTGCTTACATACGTCATTTTTACTACAATTTGCTGTCAAATAATAATTTTACTTGTTCAGTGTGTAAAATATCTCAAACCCTAGTAGGATTTCAAGCGATTCATCAAAAATTCATGCTTTTCTTTTAATATTCCATTTTTTTGTTATTCAAATTAAATAATTCATGTTACTAGGCAAAGAAAGACCGTACTTTAAGGAATTCACAAACTGCATTAATTTTATAAATTTTATGATGACATTAAAGACAAATCTTTTAATTTGAATTTTGATCAATATCTTATAAATATATGAGAAACATAACAATAAATTCAATAAAAATATACGTACAGACACGTTCAAAAAATCTTCTTCGACTTCTTACATTTTTATCACTAGTCTAGATTAGTCAAAATAAATAACTGGGAGTAATACGCTGAATTTTCTAAGTTTAAAGAAAACTCGTTCACTCAGTAATTAAAGTACTCATTGTAGGATTTATGTCTAAATTACCACACTTCTGTAGTGTATATCATCTAGTTATAATTATGACACTGGATCTTGCATCCACGGAAGGAAAATGACGGCTGTTTATGAGCATGGGCATTGTTTTGTATCTGATGTGAACTTTCGGCTCGCACATGGTTGATCTTATTCACAGGGCCGGCAGAATGACGTGTTTGATGTGGCGCTACTATGTCAGCTCGCACAAGGTCTGACCCAATCACAGGGCATGCAGAGATATGTTGTGGATGTGGGTCAGAAAACTGCGCTAGGTCAGTGTTTATCGTAGAGGATGTTTGTTGGTTTTCATTATAATTGACTCAAAACTCATGCACACTGGCGGGTTCATGTGCTAAACTACTGATTGTTGCAGATATTTCTTTTTTACGGTTGTGTCACGACCATAACTTTTGACTTAGGCCTCATTTCTATGACAAGACACAGTCATTATGTGCCTCGCTTTCTGCATGAATCCTGCATGGCTGAGAGCACAAGATCGCGTTGAAGTTCACAGTGCTTAATGACTTGGTGTTGTTTTTTATGCGTCTGAATCCAACTGACAAACATACCACTGGCTTAAGGCCATATCAAACATGGATTGTTTCAGCTCGCGCTGGTTTTCGGGCCCTCTCCTACAGTACAGACATAATTCAAACCATACTTTGTTTAACAGTCCATATGGTGTGGTAGTGACAAGCATCGTGGAACTGTATAAACGCTCTAAATATGCTTTCTCGATGGACACTTTGTGATCAACAGTTCCTTTACCTATTTTGCAGATAACTTAACACATACAAACAAACATGTCGTTGGCGTCTTCAAAATACGAGTTATGTCAATGTTTGTTTGATTGACTTAAGAACCTGAAAATAAAATACAAAGATAAATTGGTAATCTTATTAATAAAATAAACAAGATCTGAAAACACACTCTAAATATTAAGATCTATTACCTTAGGGCCGAGACAATTTAAAACTGCCAATTTCCTGAGTAATCTTTATAGCTAAAGAAAATCCTTATGGGCCTGTTGACAACTAAAAAATCTAGAAGTCATTGATGACTGGGACCCTATTTATATTTTTCATCACAAAATGCCTTGCATGCAAAATACGCAAAGCTATGTCATTTAAGTTAAGTGTTAGACTTTTCTGTCTAATCCCTAATTTTTTACCAAAATTATGACAACAACGTGAGGTCAAATTCTGCTTGTTTAGAAATAGCCTGGAGCCGAAAGTTAAAATATTGCAAAATTATAGAATTGACATTAAAATATTTAACAAATAAAGAAAATATAATTACCTGCATATTCCACTTCGTATTGCAATCAGGGATGTCCTCTTATATCATTCTCCAGACGCATTTCGAACCTCGGCGTAGAACAAACGCAGTTGACTGTTCAGAAGCCCATTCGTGTAGGTTTCAAAGGAAGAATCGTGGCCTTTTTCGGTTAGATATGTTCGGAAGAGCTTCACTGAGTGCTTTGTCACGGCTTTGGTGGTTTTTTAATCCTTAGATTCGCTAAGTTTGACTAAAAATGCAGAAAAGATGCAAATCTTCTAGCAATTTTGACAGTTATCGTCAGTTTTTGCTGGCAGTTGTGAAATCCGTACTTAGTGAAAGTCGCCTTTAAACAGTCTTCATAAGAATTATGGACTGGGTAGCCGGTCTGTATGATGTTTATGGACCGGATGACGTCATATTAAATATAGTAGGGCGTATGCAAGTGAGGTATAATATGAATAATTAATGTTTCATCTTTTCTCTATTTTAAGTGAATTTGTTGGAATAGTTCCATGTTCTTTAAAACTTGAACTGTGAAAGCAGGACAAGATTTCTCTGTTTATAGCTATTGCGGCCACTTTGTGCAGCCATGTGGAATGTGTGGGCGATATGCACAAGTAAGGACGATCCTGATCACTCTTATGAAGTTTCATTGAAATCCCACGGCAGTTACACTTGTGAAAGCCGAACAAGATTTTATATATATATAGCCTTATGGGCAATTTTGTGCGAGGGAGCGTAACGTGCCGGCGAAAAGTACAACTAAGGTTAGTACTGATCACTACTTTGAAGTTGCGTTGAAATCCCACCATCAGTTTGACCTGTGAAAGCCGGAAAATATTTTTTTGCTCTGGCGGCTATTTGTACAGGAAAGCGGAACGTGCCAGCGATATGCACGACGACGGATGGTACTGGCCACTCCGGTGAAATTTCATTGAACCCCCCTTCCCCTCCCAACAGTTTTGGAGATGAAGTGCGGACAAGATTTTTCTATCTATAGCCAAATACTAAATGATAACCTCTCTCAAAGTATACCGTCTTTCCATCATTTCAAGTTTAAACTGTTTGTCTGTTTTTCCAGTGCCAGTGTACGTTCTTTTAAATAACCGATCCGTGTAAACTTTTCACTATAATCTTTTAGTAATGATTTTATCGTATCAAACTCTTTTAAGATTATAGCAGATTTTGCTTTTCTTGTTCTCCAAAAATAGTTTGTGAAATGATACAAAGAAGCATGATATACATATGTGTCATCATTTTGTGGTATTTACAAAAAATGATGGAAAGGTTATAATGGTAAAATGTAAGTGATAACGTTTCTTTAATTGCTTAAAATGTTCTGCAATGATGACTGTTTTACATTTTGTTTCACCATTATCGTGTGTGAGTGTGTGTTTAAGGTCACTTGAAACAATGATCAAGTCAAATGGCTCTTTTGGAAAAGTTACACTATATAAAGCTTCATATAAATTCCGTATAACAAATAATTTTGAAATTCTTTCATAGAAATGTAATCCATTACCCTGTAGTATGTTTATGATGTCATTAGTTTTAAACAATGTCATTATCAACAGCATATTTTTGTATATGCTACGTAATTACACTAAACTCTAAATTTCTTTTTATTTTCCTACATTTCTTCATGTTACTTTGTGTCTAAATTTAAATGAGATTAGTGTCTTATTTTCAATAATTCATTTCATAAACATAAAGTTCTCTTACACTAATGTGAATAAACATAAATAAAGTTGCTCCGTAGTTGGCGTGTTAGTTCTTAAGGATATGCAATAGAAAGAACATACATGTATATATTACCGTTAACGGGTAACTAGTATTTCTTTTTAGAAATAAACATCAAATTATTCACAAAATCCCGCATTTTAAAAGTAAGCCAAATTTAACTAACGTATTGTTTACCTTTTCAGCTCAATCGCATAAAATATGTGCTACAAAAAAGTGTGTTGGCTTTTCCCCCGGGCTAAACATTAGTGAGAAAACCTGTCAAACAGATTTTAACATTTTGATTGTATACAATGTATTTTGGGGATTTAACATAAGTTGTATCTGATAATTTTTTTAATCTGTTGAATTTCAAACCGGTTATCTTTCAAGATAATTTCGAGTGTAAGAATATGACGGTTCATTTTCGAGTCAG